TTAATTATTCTACTTCAATGTTAAAGGGTATTAATTATTCTACTTCAATGTTAAAGGGTATTAATTATTCTACTTCAATGTTAAAGGGTATTAATTATTCTACTTCAATGTTAAAGGGCATAATTTCTGTTATATTTGTTCAGCTTTGCCATTATTTAAAGAGACTGTCATCCATTTTGACTACTTTGTTTGGTAGAATTAATTAAATAATTGAGCTATTTGAATTGATACGGATTACGGAGGATTAGTAGATTTATTTCTTGACCTATTTTGATACCATTTGAAATCCTGAACCTTCAAGAAGAACCTGGATAGGCCATTTATTTCATTACAAAAGTATGGCTCTACAAAAAAAAGAAAGATAAGTTAGAAAAGGCTTTGAATATGATGAGATGAAACAACAAACAATGCTAAAAGGCTTCTCTTTCCAGAGACGCTGCCTTTTTATATTCTTGATAAAGATCAAATCATCTATTATTAATATCCCAAAATGCTCAATACATTTTAAAAGTGGCCTATTTGATTCGATGTTGGCTTGGCTAGAAGACTGGCCATGTTTGTAATGCAGCTTGGTTTAAGAGTTGGAGTTTTCATTTAACTACTTTCTTGTTTCTTTGGAACTAGTAATGGCTTGAAAGAAATAAGCCAGAAATAAGCCATGCTATTTCAGCTATTCGTAATGCAGTGAGATTTGTTAGATCTTCCCCAAAACGACTAAAAAGGTTAAAGGAGAGTTGCAAGGAAGCAAATATTGAGTCTCGAGCTTTGTTGTGTTTGGATGTCACAACTAGATGGAATTCCACATACTTGATGTTGCAAGCTGCTACGAAGTTCAAAAAAGTATTTGTTATTTTGGAAAGCGATGGAAACTATACAAATTATTTTAATGATGATAGGTCCGATGGAAGAAATATAAATGGACCACCAACACATGTCGAATGGGATTGAGCAGAAGTATTTGTTTAGTTCTTGAAGACTTTCTATGAAATGACTTTAAAATTTGGTGGTTCGAAGTATGTAACTTCTAACTCTTTCTTTCAAGAAATATGTGAAATTCATGTAGAGTCGAACGAATTAGCTAAAGAACCTAACACTTTGATGGGATCCATGGCAATTAGTATGCAGAAAAAATATGATAAGTATTGGGGCCATGTTGAAAAGTTTAATCAGTTGTTGTTCATTGCAACAGTTCTTGACCCAAGATGCAAGTTGGAACTTCTTAAAGTCGGGTTCGAACTTATTTACGATGTAGAAATTGCAAAAATGTTGTTAAAAAGAATTGAAGAGACACTCCATAGGCTGTATGCATGCTATGAAGAAATGACGACTCCAATCACTCCACCATCGGCTTCATCAAAGGAGGCTACCAAAAATAGTAGCTCAAGTCCTTCACAACCTGCTTTTGGTCTTTTTAAACAAATTCCTTCTATTTTTAAAGTTAAACTTATGCAAAACATACAATCTGAGAAGAATGATTTGGTTGATTCTTTGTCTGATCGTTGTGAAGATTTAACCGATCCCAAATTTGACGTATTAGTACGGTGGAAATTGAATGCGCACAAGTACAAAATTCTCTCTAAAATTGCCAAAGATGTATTAGCAATTCAAATATCCACGGTTGCTTTAGAGTCGGCATTTTCCACGAGTGGCCGGATTCTTGACTCCTTTAGGAGTTCATTGAGTGCAAAGATGGTTGAGACCTTAATATGCAGAAAGAATTGGTTGCATAGCAGCATGAACCTAGAGTGCTTCGCCAATATTTAGATGAGGTACAATCATTGAATGACTCAGAGAAAGCAGTAGAAGGTGACATTTATTTTCTATTATTAGTTTTGATATTTTTATTCATATTGTTTCTTAGTTGCTTGTTAATATCATTAATAAGGACTAATAAATAATTTGATATTTGCGTATCATGCAGAGGTCGAATCATGTTCTACAACAGGGAGCAGTGATCCCATTTTTATCAAATGAGAGGTTAGTACTCTTGTACTTATTTTGATATTATTCCTCATAAATTGAGCGGAGTGCCTGTTGCTATATGCTAACTTGATAATATGTTTTTTTGTTTATATATCGAATTTTAGACAAATATGAATGTAATTTAACATTTAACATTATTAGTTCTCGTTTACATTTATATGTTAACTTGTTTTAAACATATTGTTATAATGTTGATAGATAAACCACGAATTTAAACCGAACCGAATCGCAAATAATGGTTTGGTTTAAAAAATTCCAAACCGCATAAAATAGTTTGAGTTGAAAATAGAGCACAAACTGTCCAAATCGAACCGTATTCATCCCTAGTTGAATTTTTAAAGTAGAGTGTGATATAATTTTCAAAAAATAAAAAAATTAGGGGTATAAGTGCAGCAAAGATTGGAAACCTTTATGGGCAACTTACAAAAATACACTTAAAATTAAGGATCCTTATAAAAATCATATGGAAAGTTTTTTGGAAGTAAAAAATACTTTGTAAAATTAAAAAGTTACACAATTTCACTTTTTTTAAAACAAGTGACACAATGTCACTTTTAAAAGTTTAATATCACTTTTTTTTTAAAAAAAATACATACAATATCACTTTTATTAACAAGTTATGTTTGTCACTAAAAAAAGTTATAAAAATTTTAAAAAGAATATTGAAAAAAGTGACAAACCTTTAAAAAGTGATAAAAATTCAAAAAAGTGACAATTACTAAAAAAGCGACAAAAATTCAAAAAAGTGACTGCAATTTTAAAAAGTGACACAAATTCAAAAAATTACATAGATTAAAAAAAGTGACGCATAGAAACGTAACATTATTCCAACATCTTAATACGAATCTTATAGGCGTCCTCTAACCTCTTCAGTCTTCCCTTTACACCTCTTTCAGTCTTTCCTTTACAAAGCCCATATAAATCAAAACCCCATAACTAAAGGCAACTTACAAAAATATCCTTAAAATTATAGATCCTTTGAAAAATATGAAAAAAAATTTGGAAGTAAAAAATACTCTGTAAAATTAAAAAGTCACACAATGTCACTTTTTATAAACATTGTGTCACTTTTAAAAGTTTAATATCACTTTTTTATTAAAAAATACATACAATGTCACTTTTATTAACAAGTTATGTTTGTCACTAAAAAAAATTATAGAAATTTAAAAAATGACAATTGAAAAAGTGACAAACCTAAAAAAAGTTATAAAAATTCAAAAAAGTGACATAAATTTAAAAAAGTGACACTAATTCCAAAAAGTTATACATGTTCAAAAAAGTGAGGCATAGAAAAGTAAAATTATTCCAACATCTTAATACGAATCTTATAGGCGTCCTCCAACCTCTTCAGTCTTTCCTTTACACCTTTTTCAGTCTTTCCTTTACCAAATTCATAAATCAAAACCCCATAACTAAATGTATTTGGAATGACCCCATTACTTCGCATTTTCTTAAGAATTCTCACTGCATCTACAAATTTCCTTGCCTTGAAAAAACCTTCCACTACAGTAGTAGTGCATACAACCACTTTCAGAATATTACTCTTCTCACTCATTAACTTAAAAAGCTTCATTTCCTCTTGCATCAACCCATCTTTACATAAATCATCAAGCATCGCCACGAAATTGGGGATCAACCCAGTCAAACCCAAGCTTGAATATTGCCATAAAATCATCCACTTCACTCCTCACCGAGCTCGATTTTCCATTCTCACAAACACGATTGAAATTTGGGAATCTGGCATTTTGGGAAAGGTAAGATTGCCTTTTTCTAGACTCAACCCTCGAGGGCAGATTTGTTTTTCAAATTCTGAGGTTTCAAGGTATCATAATAATCCAACACCACATGGTTGCTTAGACCACCCTTCTGGACCTCTTCGACTTCCCCATAAGACCTCCAAGTGCGTCATTAGACATTGCCAGATGGTGATAGGTTTTTCGTTTGTTGATATTAATGGAAAGAGCATTTTTGGTCAGAAGATCGTTAAAGTTGCTGAATTTCGAGTGTCTTCCGAGGAGCCTGGTAATGTTGAAGGTTGTAGCAGCCGAGATAAAGATGAAGTAGTAGATAAATATTAGATTGATAGAGAGCCGGGAAGAAATCATCTTTTATGACGTATTAATTACGTTCTTAAATGATTTAATTAATTGAAAGAGTATAAATCAGAGTACTGGCCCTAATTTACTCAACCTTTATTGCAAATAAAGCCCATGTTTGGTGGCCATTATTTGGGAAAAACAATATTTTGAATTGTGAATTTTTGGAGAATATGTGATTAAAAAGTAGAAAACAATTTTAAATTTACGTGTAGAATATTTTATTGTGTGAATTTGTGATTGAAAATGAATATGTAAAAAAAAAAAAAGGGGAAAAAAAGAATTTTGATTAAAAAAAAACACCATCATACAAGAACAAAATATGGTGTAACAAAAAAAAACTGTAGTGTGAACATAATTACCTAATAAAAATATAACTTATTAGTAAAACCTCTCAACTTAGCCAATCAAATTGATGCCTGAACTTTTTGTCTGAGTAAGCTTACAAGTGGACGTGTAAGACACGAGCTGTGTAGTCGGAGTGTTGTGGCCACAAGCTCCAAGCTCACATTTAAGGCCACGAGTAGAGAAAGCCCCTCTATAAAGGATTGACAGGCATGAACTCATTCTTAGACATCTAAAAACATTCCCACCTTACATCTCACTTCAATTTCTCATAGAATCATTACCTAACTTGAACATCATAAAATCTTTATCGTTGAATTTCTCGACATTATGAATAAAAAAAGCACACAAGGCAATTAAGTAAAAAGCCCTGTAGAATGTTGTGTTGATAGTGTTAACATCATCAAGTTCAACATTTTTGAAATAAAATTGAAGTCAGCTACACAAACATTCATAACTTCACGATATCAAAAATACTCTAAAGAACAGATGCTTAGCATAGCATAAACTATTAAAAAGACATTCGCCATAAATATGAATTTGGCAATCCTGATTTTAGAAATTAACTAGCAGAGGTAAGAATAGTTAAATTTGATTTATGGCAAAGAATTCAGTACGTCTTTTTATTACAAGAAAAATGGTGAACCAGAAAACACAATCCATAACGAGAGACTAAGCTTCCTAAACCAGTAAACATATCCTTTTCCTGCCACAATACAGTAAGAAAGTATTCACAAGACTCTCTTGCCCTGGAAGACAAAAAAAATTAAAAAATTGAAAACTAGGAACATAAGTTCGAGTTTTGTTACCAATTTTGAGATCCTCCCAAGAACATTTGACTCAAGTAGAACAGCAGCCGCCCCTCTTGGTATTCCCATGTGAATCATTGACATTGATTGTCATACCCTGGCCGGGAAGTGCAGTGGCAGCTGCTGCATCCTGGGCTACCAATGCCTTCTTGCTGACGATGTGGTATATTTCAGTCAAAATAGACTGGAAAGCCTTGTCGACATTATATGCCTCAAGTGCAGATGTTTCAAGGAATGAAAGTCCTTCCGTTTCAGCCAAAGTTTGACCATCATTATCCGCAACTGCTCTTAGATGGTTAAGATCGGATTTGTTTCCGGCCATCATGATTACAATGTTAGAGTCTGCGTGTTGTCTCAATTCCCGAAGCCACCTTTGGATGTTGTCAAAGGTTTGTCTCTTGGTTATGTCATAAACAAGGAGTGCGCCTACAGCCCCTCTGTAGTAAGCACTGGTAATGGCTCGATACCTCTCCTGGCCTGCCGTGTCCCATATTTGGGCCTTCACCGTCTTTCCTTCTATCTGTGCCATATAAAATTGTAAATTACTCCACAAAATTGTACATTCAAAACCACTAGCTGTAACACATCAATAGCTTAAAAAGACATACAAGGATTTTCCCCAATATGAAATGACTCAAAGAATATTGAAAATGTGAAACAGAGTTGAAGATATGTTGAAATTACAAATGATGGACTAAAAGCAACGCAACTATGTCACGATTGTGGTCGTCAAAAGCATTGAAAAAATAACAACAATAAGATATCTCCGAGACTTTTTTCTTTGTCTTTTTTTCACAATAAAGACATTTCAAAAGATACACATGCACACAACCGAGCACGTTATAGATATCACATTAACTGTAAGTATACACAGAATGAATTCGTAATACATGTTGGAATGCTCATGTTCATTTGGAATCACATAACCTCATTAAGAGCTAACTAAAACTCAATGATCTCAATCTAATAAGCTAATTATCGCGGTTTTAACCATTAAAAGACAAACTAAGTATTGATCATTTGCCATCATCCTAATTTGTCAATCTATTCGCAATCTGATAATTGGTTAGCGCTAAAATCAATAATTAAATTTCCTCATCAATACATCATTCAAATTACATAAGAATCGCTTATCAAAGTAATCACTTCTTTTGTCAATCCACGCAAGTCAGAAAATATTTACCACTACAACATGTTAAATCCATGAACGTAATCAAGAACGAAATAAGACAATTAAACAGAATATGAGCGAAAGATTAGAACAGACCTGAAGATTTTTGGTGGCAAACTCAACTCCAATGGTGGATTTGGACTCCAAACAGAACTCATTTCTCGTAAATCTGGACAAAATGTTGGATTTCCCAACACCCGAATCCCCAATCAATACGATCTTGAATATATAATCATACTCTTGATCAATTCTATTAGCCATTTCCCTGCAATTATTTTATTTTTATTTTTGCTTGTCACCCACACCCCTAGACAAAAAAACCAACAATCAAAACTCCAAAAAAAAAAAAAAAAAAAAAAAAACAACAACAACAACAACAACAAAATTAAGATCCAAATAATTCAGATCTATATATCAAGATCCCAACAAAAATAAAACCCATAAAGAATGAAATTCATCCACATAATTAAATGGGTTTGCATTGCTTACCGTAAAGGAGAGATCGGATAAAATGGGTGTGCAAAATTCAAATTCAAAGTAATAGAAAGAATTGGTTTCCAGAAACAGGGTACAAAAGAAATAAGCACGGAAATGAGAAAAATGTAAAAAGAAACTACTATCAATAGATTTGAAACGTCAAATATGGTGGGTAATATGGGTGTCTTTTCTGATTTATATGCCGCTAAATTCAATTTGTAAAACAGAGAGAAGAATTTTGATTTTCGGGGGCCGGGGGGGTGCGTGGTGGGAACAATTAGGGACGCGTAGAATCTTGATTTATAAATATCAAATTAAAAGGTTGAATTGGTGTCGTTTCGGGGGAGTTGACCAAAAAGTTAACTAGAATTTGGCTGTCAAACGACATTCGCAGACTTCGAGGGATAAGCTAAGTTTGGTGACTTCCATACGTATGTAGCCACGTCATGGGTGGCTTGTCTTAGAGCATAGTGCAACTTTTTGATTGTATAATGTAGAGCTGAATAAATCTCTCGAATCGAATCGATCGAATCGAATCCGAAGCGAATTGAATCGAACCCGACGATTCTTATCAAATTAAATACCGAACGGGTATTTGAATTGAGAACTGATGGGTACGGTTCGATTCTCGATTCTAGATCAAAAATCGAATAATCGAATCTTTCTAATTTTTTTTATATTGAGTAAATTAAATTATTTTAATTTTAATTTTTTCTAAACAAATTAACAAATTAACAATTTCTAAATCCAAATTTTTGGCCCAATAATTTGTTTCATTTTTAATTTTTTTTATTTTTGGCCCAATTACCCATTTTATTGTTTCATTTCATAGCCCAACAAGATCCAATCCACTAAATAATCCTAAACACCTACGCTAAAGTGCATGTTGTCTCGACTCTTGCAGTTTCGCTAACATTCCAAAACTTATATAATCGTCGGCCGATGCTGTGACCTCCGATCGAAGCTGTGATCTCCGCCGATCGAAGCTTTGACCGTAGCGATCATTTGAACAAGGTAATATACTAATCTCTGACATTCTAAAATCATTAAATGTATCATTAGTTGTATTTATATAATGTTGATATAAATGTTAAAAAATTTAATTATAGTACAGAACCGAATGGAATGGAACCAAAACGAATGGAACCGAACCCGAACTGTTCCAAAATTATATTTGGACCCCGACGGTTCCATTTACTAGATACCCGAAAATTTTGATTCGGTTCGGTTCTCTTTAGAACCGAACTGAACCGACCTACGCTCACCCCTAGTAAAATGTAGGTGGCATTTAAGCCCTATGTTTTTTTTCTTTTTTTTTTTTTTATGAATTTTGGAATAGTGATTTTCTTGGAGAATTGTAATTAAAAAGTAGAAAAAAATGTTGAATTTATGTGCAAATTATTTTATGGATAAAACTTAGAGTACATAATTTTATGTACCCAGGTGGGACCCCACACCTATATGAGTGTACACCAAGCACAACCCATGTTTTATTTATTTTTTATTTTTTTGATATCCAGGTATCCCAATTTACACTAAACTAAATCCTGAACCCCCAAGATCCTTGCCCGTAGAACGTTGGAGGGCTACCCATGTTTTATTGTATGATCGTGTGGTTGAATATGAATTTGAAAAAAAAAAAAAAAGGTTTTTATTTAATGGATATTAAATAGGGACCAACTACTAAGCGGAAAGAATTTCTAATAATGTCTACTGAATATATTGATTAGTTCATGTTCTTTATTCAACAAATTTTGTCTATAATTCAGATCTCATTAAGAAAAATAATAAACATGAAGTAGAAAAAATAAGAAGAAAGAGAGAAATATTAAATTATGGTGAGGACTAGAAGGAACCTCTAAATCTAGATAATAATTTTGATAATGTCCACTTTTCTCTTTACCATATTAGATAGACATAATCATAGATGTGTTGCATTTGAGATGAACTTTTGTACATATTGTTTGTTTTATCTTGTGTGGCAAGCTTTTTGTACAATCCAACTTATCATTAAGCATTTCTAGTCCATTTCATTGATCGCAATCTAGGTGACATCTAGATATAATTTTTTTTTTACGTGTCATTACTATTTAATGATTAGACGACCCAATTCAAATTTTCATTTCCAATTAGTCATATCCATAAATTAAATTCATCTCTAATGAATAATCTTTTTTTTCTATTTTAAACTTTATTTTATATCTTTTTGGGGTTTTTGAGTGGAAAACCGAAAAAGTTATTTGACGAAATTACCACTTGAAATAAAAATAAACAAACACAATTGCCTTGCACGCAAGAAACTAACGATTCATGCGGATGGAATCCATAGAAAATGACCATTTGCGCCAAATTTGAAAGGTTTGAACCATATACACAATTTGAGAAAAAGTTCAGGACCATTCACAGCTGATTTCGCCTTTATAAATTGAATCATTTATAAATTCTTCCCAAGTGGAGAATTAAATTTTAAAATTTCAAATGTTGTGAAATGATGTAACAGAGCCAACGAAATTTATAAATTAATATCACCAGCATCCACCACGAGTAAAAATCGTAGGTCAGCACCATAGAAATCAAAATCCCAAACCCGTTATCACCTCGTATCACTATTAACTTCGCTGCCTTCACCACTATCATTATCACCATCATAGTTGGAATTTGTTTATATGAGTTTAGTTTATATTTTTGTAGTTTAAAAGGTGTCAAATTGTTGCGGTGGTGGTGGTTTATGAGGGTTCATGACAATTTGATGATGGTGACAGTGGTAGTGAAATCGATGGTAGTAAGTGGGTAAATAAGTTATAATATTAAAAAATTGCACAATAGAACAATAATGTAAGTAATTTTCTAGTGTTAATGGGATGTTGGTGGTGGTGATGGGTGTGGCGACGGTGGTATAACGATTTTAAGTTATGGTTTAAAGAAATTTCATACAACGTAATAACAAAAAGTTATACATAATGTAACAAAAATGTGTGTAATTTGTTGTGTTGTTGGGGGTGATTGTCGGTGGCAATGATGGTGGGATAGGTGTTGAACAATTTCAAGTTACAACTTAAAAAGAAATTACATACACTATAACAGCAATAATACATAGTTTAAGCCATAACGTTGAAGAATACAAACAGTCTTGACCCTACGTGGTTCATGTTTATAAACAATCAAGTCATTTTTTTCACTTATTTCAGATCTTTTTCTTTATTTAAGGAGTTCATTGACATGTTCGCATGGTAGAAATTCAAGAATGCAGCTTGTGGAAAGAATATATTAAATCTCGTGAACCAATAGAAGTTCAGTTTGCTCACTTGAAACTCGAAAATGATGGTCAAGCAACGATTGACGAGATGGTAGAAATAAATCTTGGTACAAGTGAAGAACCAATGCATGTGTTCATTTGTGCTAACCTATATGATTGATAGAAGGATTTTCCATCGAGGGTTTTTAGTGAGAAACATGTTATCACTCATTGTTATCTATTTATAAGTTAAATAGTTTTATAAAAACTTCATAAATATACTTCAAGTTACTAACATTGCAATTTATTAGGCATCTGTTTGGCGCGAATTAAAATCTTGATAAGAATCTAAGTCAAAATCAATAATTTATTTTAATCACATATTTCATGGGACTTACAAATTTTCAATCACATTTTATTATTTTTTTTCAAAATCTAATTTATATCTCGCCAAATATGAGCTTAATGTAAGGCTTCTCTAAATTCATTGTTAAAAGTTAGATATATCGTAGCAAAAAATAACAAATTTGAGGCCAGGCATCTACCTATTTTCTGAAATTAGACTCTCAAATGTTTCGTAGTTGTGTAATTATTTCTAATAACTCTGGCTAGGCCGAGTCCAAGATATACCCATAAGATGCAAAGGCCCAATATTTTACCATATCAAGGGCAGACTACACCTTAATAATTTCACGGGAAAGTTGCAGTCAAGATATCAAATCTTTCACTCTATTGTAGACTTGATCCAAGCCTTTCAAATGTATTATCCACGGTATCAAACATTTTAAAAATTCGTATTTAGAGTTCAAATGGATGGAAACCGTTAGTTAATCTATTAGTTATCTGAAGTCAACATTTTTATCAAATTTTGAATAATTTTTAAAGGGTAAAAAGGTAATTTTACACTTTTATATTAAAGAATTGAAATAATTAAATTAAAAAACCAAAAATAAAAATAAAAGAATTTGAAATTTTTTTCTTCTTCAATTGCCACAAAAGTCATTGCAAATAATTATTATCATTGCCCCCGCACACACAGCCAAACCAAACCAAAACCCACAACTCCACCATTTTCATGAATTTGAGTAATAAATCAGCAAATCACGATTCACAACCACCTACCATGCCCTCAAATGTTGTGTATAAGCCGTGGAGGCTCCAAAAAAATTTTGAATTTGAATTCAACAACTCCATTTTTGAATAGTCGGAATAATATCGCAGATTTTTTCAACAAAGAATTGAGTGAATAACAAATGAATCAATGAAGAAATTATTAGGTAATCAATTAGTGAGAATTTGTATCACATTGTACATTATACGAGATGACGGGTCTCGTCGATTATCCATACTCAACTTTTCCAAAATCAACAATCCCAATTTAGAACAAACAAGATCAAATCGATTTAAGCTAAGATTTGTATATTTCTGACCTAATATTGTGGTTCATGAGATTTATGGCTCCAAGATGCCGTCGATGGTTTATGAGTTGATGCCTCCAAAATGAGATGGATTGTGAAGGAGAAATGAGTAAAATGGTTGTTGGTTACATTTTGGTGCATCTATTACAACTTACAAGCTACATAGATTTGTGGTCTGTGAAAGGCTGTGGCGATGAATGGTAGAAGGTGACTTTAAGAGTTGGGTTGGGATGGGGTGGGGGGGGGAGGGGAGAAGAAGAAAAAGAATTTTTCAGATCCTTTTTTTTTTGCTGATTTTTTATTTAAGTATTTGATATGAAAAATCTAACGTTACCTTTTATGCTTTAAAAATTAGTCAAAATTTGGTCAAAATGTTGATTCTAGGTCAACTAACAAATGAACTAACGGTATCCATCAAACTGGACTTTGGGTACGATTTTTTGAAAAGTTTGGTATCGTGGATAATACAAATGAAAGGTTTGAGTCATGTCTGCAATAAAATGAAAGGTTTGATACCGTGACTGCAATTTTTCCTAATTTCATGATGCTTTCCTACTTTCTTTAATAATGCATTTCTCCTATTTTTTTTTTTTTTTTTTTTTTGGTTTTTTGGGTTAAAACATTGTCATGAGACATGTACGATGAAAATGATCCCCATCCTGTTACTTGTCTCCTTTAAAGTCTATTTCAAATTTAGCCCCTGTTTGACCCTCATTAAATTACATTTAATTTTTCTCTCTCATATTTTCAATCACATAATCTTTCATAAAATAATATTATAAGTAAATCGAAAATTTTTTCTTTTTTTTTTCAACCACTCATTTTTCAAAAAAATACTATTCCACCCATTTTCATTATCAAAAAATGGGGGTCAAACAGGGTTTAAGTTTTTAATCACACGAAAAGAAAAGAAGCGCCATCCTTTTTAAAAAGAAAATTTATTGTTCTTAACAAATTGAAAAAAGTAATGATTTTCATCCATTAAATCATGAAAAAAAATAAAAGCAAAACATAAAATAATGAAAAAACAAATGGCACAGCCGTCATCCCACACCTCCTTAATGGGGATATGAAGGCGGGTTAAGGTAACAAAAATACTCGATGGGACGGGGGACGAGATGGCTGCCCCAACTCTGATTCTGAGTTTAACCCGACCCTTTGCAATATGCCCCTAACTTTATAATTTTAGAGAATTTTATTTAAAAAGGAAAAAGGATATTAGAATTGAACTCTAATATCTGTTAAAACCTTGGAAGATAAGTAAGAAGGAATATAATGTTTGTCCAGAATCAAAAATAGGGAAAAAAGAAGACGGAATTGGGAGCAGATGATTGGTTGTTGTTGTTTTTATTTTTCAAACAGTGCAATTATATGTTGATAGATGTTCACCTTATTTTTGAATCCCTTTTTAGCCTATTTGTGCCAGTGAGAATTATTTCATAGAAATATTATCCGTCTTAATATGGAGAGATTTTTTTTTTTTTTTTAAAGAAAATATTTTGTATTTAAGATTTGGGGGCTGTTGCTTTTACCAAGATTTTTCATAGGTATGTTTGACAAAGAATCTCAATCATCAATTTAAACGTATCTAATTAACCTAATTTATTATATTAAAACACTTTAAAATTTCAAAATGAGGTTCCCTAAAGATTTATTAATTTGGAAACCAACTCAAAGTTTCCATTAATTAATCTCTTATGCATATGATATTATGATGTATATCAAAATTTGTGAGAATATTTCAGTGTTCTAAAAATCTGTGTTTAGGTGTGATGCTCCCAAAACACCAAGCCAATCCATTTGGCTTGGCGCCTTATTTGGTGGTTGCGCTTAGGCGCAATTATGCGCGCATCATCATCCTTTTATTAATTTTTTTTAAAAAAAAATTTGTGTTAAAAAATTATCAATGGCTAATTTCTTCATTTTGCCCTAATTTAAAACTACTACTTGTATTGGAAGACGTGGAGGACGAATTAGATGATAAAGAAGATATTGAATTGGAGTCCGATAAAGAATTAGATAAGATTTAAGGGCTTGTTTGATAAGCCATTATTTTTCCTAGAAAATGGAATTCAAATTTCAACTTCTACTTTTTGCATGTTTGATAGCATTTTTTTCAAGTAATTGGTTTTCTTGCCGCTTAGACATTTTCTTGGTTTTCCCTGAACTGCTATCGATTTTTTTTTATACAAATTCTATCCGTAATTGTAAAAAAAATATTTTCCTTTAATTGGCAATTTTCATGTAAAACAAAACCAAACGAACACAAAAAAATATATAATTTTCTTGGCTTTATTTTTTGGGCAATGGAAATAAATTCTATTCCTTTAATTGATAATTTTCATGTAAAATAAAGTCAAACGAATACCAAAAAATACTTTTATTTCAACATTTTTCACTTGAAAAATTATACCAATCAAATACAATAATTGTCAATTCCCAGTAAAACAATTTCTAGACAATTCAATTTCCTGGACTTCGTTTTCTTTCCACGCAAATTCCATCTTTGCAATCAAACGGACCCTAAGTTCGTATACTATTTATTTATTATTTTATATTTAAATTTGAAACTTATCTTTTCTTGAAAACTTTGAAAAATATATATAAAGTTCCCATAAATCTGCTTTAAATGTTTAGTAAGTATTATTTTTAATTATTAAATAACTTTTTGATTTATTAAAATTTAAAATAATATTAAAATAAGAAAATATCTTTTTACGTCTAAGAGGCGTAATGTTTGGTAATACGTGAAAATCAAGCTATGGGCTACGCGAGTTTTCAATATTTAAAAGTAGTGTTTATAAATCCTAATTGAATTGGTCGATTTAACTAAAAAATATATTAAATTATATTTTAGACCTGGCAAAATTACTCAATCAACTGATTGGCAATCAAGTAGCCTAGTACTTTAAAGGGTCGTCGGGTCGATAGCCATGCCGATCTAAAATCTTTAGTTCAAATTTCTTTTGAACTCCTAGATAAATTATTATCAAAAAAAAAAAAAAAAAAGTTACTTATGAAATGTTTGAAAATAAAGAAAAATAGTGAAGAATGAGTCAAATAACAGATAAGATCGTGATTTAGTGACAAAATTTTTGGTGCAAGTACATATTTACTTTCTGTTTGTACTAATTTTTTTTTTCCAAAAAAAATAAAGGGAAAAATAATACTACTTATCTATTCCTATGAATTCAAATATATTGCAAAATATTCGGTAAGCTTAAATTATTTTCTTATTTTGTAATTTCCCCTCGAATTAAATCTTTTCCAATATCGACTCATTTCATAATACATTATGATAAAGTAAACCATAAAATATTACGGATTTGCTACTTATGGTTTCAAGGTGTGATTTTAGGTCTTCGTTGTACCAAAATGAGATTTCGAGTCTCCAATCTATTTAAGTATGTTAATCTGAATCTGTATGAGAAGGAATGATCAATATGAACGCTAAAAAACTGCACGTTCCTTTCAGAGACTTAGAGTTGAATGGCGAATCAAACTATTTAGTCCCTATTTGGTAGTTTTTAATTTATATATTAGTTTAATTCATTTCTCATATTTATTTTCAACCACACATTCGCACGATAAAATATTATACGCAAAAATTCAAAATTTTTTCGAAACTTTAACAACATAATTTCCAAAAAATACTATTCAAAACATAAAATTTTCAAGTTAATGGCCACCAAACATGGGCTTAATGTCCAATTTTAAGTCGAGTATAAGTCACATGTCAAATATGGGCTTAATTATTTTACAATAAAGTAATAACTTACTTACGAACAAATTTGATCCCAAAAAAAGTAATTTATTTTAAGTAAATTTTAATAAAAATTAATGAAGTATGTGATTAAAAAATTGACAAGTTTCTTGAAATATATGATTAATATTAATGATTGAATTTATGGTTCACATTTCATGTACTACGTAAATATTGGTGCTCTGTACGACAACCTCCATTTAATGATCACAGCAGAGACTTATCTCTCCGTTGAACCACACAAATCCCAATCCCAAACCCAGCTCCGAACCTCCCCTCGCTCTCCCGAACCACCACACGGCAGAGATGAACGAAGGCGGCCACATGAACGGAATGGATGGCGGCCACATGAACGGAATGGATGGCGGCATGGGTGTGGCGCCACCGCCAGGTGTCTTCAATCACCGCCACATGATGCATATGACCTTCTTTTGGGGGGAAAACACTGAGATTTTGTTCTCCGGCTGGCCGGGATACAACAACTCCGGCATGTACGCTCTCGCCCTGGTGGTGGTGTTTCTCCTGGCGGTTATCGTCGAGTGGCTCTCGCACTGTAATTACACCAGAGAAGGCTCAAATCGCCTAGTTGCGGGGCTTCTTCAAACCCTAATATACGCTATAAGGGTTGGTTTGGCCTACATGGTGATGCTGGCCGTGATGTCTTTCAACGCCGGCGTTTTTCTGGTTGCAATCGCCGGCCACACCGTGGGATTCTTCATATTTGGTAGTAGAGTTTTCAAGAAAACATTGCCGCAGCAGGGTTTCGTGAAGGCCTCGGATCTTTCTCCATCGAGTTGCTGATGATCCGAATCATAGGATACGGTTTGTGATAATTGTGTCTATAATGAAGTTTGATTATTAGTAATTTAATTGAGAATTTTTGCAATTCTAAGATTAGGGTTTATGACTTCGTAGATAAGCTCCAGGGATAAGAAATTCATCAATTTCTTCCGCGCTCCATAAATTTGGATTGAATTATGATAGTTTATATAGAATTATGATAGAAAGGGATTCAATAAACATTGTATAATTGTGCGATTTTCGTAATTTTCTTCATTCCATGTGTTGGGAAAAGAAAAAGTTTGTGATGATGAATTGAACCCACTTTTTTTTTAATTATTTTTTTATTATTATTTTTTATTTTTTACCCTGGTTAGAAGCAGAATCCAATGTTTTTATTTATTTATTTTTATTAGAGAATCTGTTTAGAAAAAAATTCTTTAATCGTAAAGAATTTTGATAAGACATAGGATACATATTCAAAAGTCTTCGCAAGTCATCAATGAGGGGAAATTTTAGTTTTGTCAGAGGATTGAAACCTTTCAATTTGCTTTAAACTACACTTTAACCTTTTATTTTTGTGGCTGCAGTGGTCACTAACCTTTTACTTTGATGTAGCCAGTGTTCATTGAGTAGAATTCATCCATTAATTTATTAGTCAACCTTCAAATTAGAAGTTTGACTCAAATTCACAGAATAAGTGGGGGTAAAATAGTATATTTATATTTTCTATACTAATAACTTTAAAATAATTAAATAATAAAAAAAGAGCTGCTCATCTTCTCCAAACCTTCACTTTGCGCCCCCACCAACCACCGTCACCGTTTACGCGACGTAGCATTACCCATCGCAATTTGTCACCACCACCGACCCAAATCTCAAACTACAACACAAAAGTCTCCCTCAAATCCAAAAATAAAAAATAAAAAATTAGCGCCTATTTGACAATCGTTTTTTATACTCGTTTTTAATCAAACATTGTCACAAGAAAATTTTTTGACGTAAATTCAGAACTTTTTTTTACTTTAGCACACATTCTCCAAAAATTTACTATTCGAAAACTCATTCAGCACAAAAAATGACTGTCATATAACAGCTTAAAACTTTGCAAATGCTTCTTGCCAAACAAAAGTGCAATCGAGAGGTGCAATCGGGCTTTAACAATGCCATGCCATCCTGCCTCAACTTGTTCATCATCATCATCATCATCATCATCATCATCATCATCCTTCCTCTTGGACTTAAATTCAATGTATCACCCCATCTTAGGTCCAACCGGCAAGAGGGAAATATTTTATGCAATATGTGTAATATTTGAGCACAAAGTTATCGAAGCACCTCAAAGAAAAATTTGTGCTAAGTTTAAAATGCAACAATATCCAGTCAATAGATGGAAATAATTATCTTCCATTCTTTTAATCCATGTTCACCATCTGGATTTGATTGTTGTAAGCAATTGGGATTCCAACACCAACTCTTTATGGTGCATATGTTTTAGCGTCAACCCAACTGCTCTCCTAAAGCCTAATTCTCCTGACACAGTATCAGGCCTGAAATTTCTTGTTGCACTTTTCAGTTGAGCTAAAGTGAACAGTTTCAAGTATAGACTAATGATTAGACCACTTGGAGGAACGGTTTTTAATAGAAATAGAAATCGAAAGATACAAAAAGTTAATCAAATAATTTATCTTCAAAAAGGATTTACAACCAAATCGAAAATCGACATCAAAGATATTTGATCTTGGGCTTAGAACATTAAACTCTTTTGTACAAACTAGAAAATATATATATATATATATATATATATATATATATATATCCAAATCGAAAATCGACATCAATCAAATTTGATCTTGGGCTTAGAACATTAAACTCTTTTGTA